TGCTGGCAATGCTCTTCTTAATGCATCCCAGGATTCCATTGGCCTCCTTAGCCACAAGGACACACTGTGACTCATGGACAGCCTGTTGACCACCAGGACCCCCAGGTCCTTCCCACAGAGCTGCTCTCCAGCAGGTCAGCCCTCAGCCTGTGTGTGGGGTTACTCTTCCCCATGTGCAGGACCTGCATTTGCCTTCGTTGGTTTTCAGACAGTTCTTCTCTACCCATCTCTCCAAACTGCTGAGGTCCTTCTGAAGGGCTGCACAGCACTCTGGGCTGTCTACCACTCCTCCCAGCTTTGTGCCATCAGTGAACTTGCTGAGGAGACACTCTATCCTCTCATCCAAGTCACTGGTGTACAACAATACTGGGCCCAGTATTGAACCTCGGGGGACAGCACTGGTGACAGCCTCCAACCTGACCCTGTGCCACTCAATTACGATGCTCTGGGATCTGCTGTTCAGTCAGTTCTCAAACCATCTCACTGTGCACATTCCTGAGTGTGCCTGTGAGAATATTGTGAGAGACAGTGTTGAAAGCCTTCCTGAATTCGAGGTAGACAATCTCCATGACTCTTCTCTCATCCATCCAGGTAGTTGTTCCATATAGAAGGCAATCAGGTTGGTCAAGTATGATTTACCTTTAGTGAATCCATGTTAGCTACTCCTGATCACCTTCTTGTCATCCATGTGGATAGATATGACCTCCTGAGTCTTCTGGGTAAGGTACTCAGACAATCTCCTCCTCCAACACCAAGGCAGCTCTGACAGCTTCCTGCATGATCAGCTTGGGGCCTTTTTTTTCAGAAAAGTTATCATCTTTTTACCATTCTTTTATTTAATTTGGCTTTCTCCTTTTACATTATCCCCTTCCCTGTAGTTAAAATTTAGTGTTAAAGTGACTAGATTTAAAGTGACTATTTCTTTATAGTGCTTGACTAGCTTCTGACGAGCCTTAGTGGTAAAAGTGGTGCTATACATACTGCACATACATAGCTTTATTCAAACAAACTAGGAACAGAGGTGACAGCATGTACAACTTGATTACCTGGAAAACTATGATCACCGTCAGAAATAAATATACTGAAGCTAAAACAGGTGACAAATATTTTCCATCAGGCCCTGGAACATCAAAAATTGGTTTCTTCTTCTCACCATATTGCCATACCCATAGACCATGACCTGCAGAAGAATTGACAGAGAGAAAGAAGCAAATTAACTCTAAGAAAAAATGGTTATGGTATGAATTTGTTCTTAGAGTTGAATGACATTGGAAATTGGTATTTGTTTTCAACTCTTCTACATGACTTCTGAAAAATGCCCCAAACCCATGGAGTTTTTTCTGCCTTGGGATTTGGGGTCTGAGAAAGGGGCTTGGCTGGCCTTAAGGACAGGCTGCAAGGCTCATTTCACAGAACTTTATCCAAACAAAGTGAGCTGCCTAGTATAAGTTAGTAGTTTAAACTGTTTCTGTAATCAGCAAAGGCAACTACACTTCTTCAGTGTTTCACTGATGTTCTATGTGTTAAAATGAAAGAACTCCACTGACTGCCCTAGGTATATAACCAGTCAGCTATCACTATAGTAGTTTCCTATGGATATAGTCAGAGACACTAATTTTACTCTGTCAGTCTTATCTATCACATGTACAGACCTAATGAAATAATGGTATCAGCAGAATCAACAGCATGGGAGCTGAGGAATGAAGAATAGAAGAAATTCTAAGCCCTACTCAAATTTATGTTTTTTTTAAATTGATTGTGGTGAAAACTAAATAAAGATAAGATTGTTGTTATTTTGGGGAAAACTGTATTCTTGGTAAAAATACAGGAAGTTGCCTTTTTAAGTACAGCACTAAGATCTACAGTCCTAAAAACCCTAAAATGGTATGCCTGATGTTTTCAAGGTTAAAAAACAAGGAAGGATTCTGCCACAATTAAGACACATTCAGCCTATCTTCACTATATGTCCTAAATCAGAAAAAAGGACACAGGTCTACTTTAAAAGCAATCTTTTGTAAGTCACATTTGACAAGATCCTTCACATCTTTATATATAAACCCAGCACTGAACTCTTGAAAAACAAAAACACTTAAGCCAAGTGAGCAGATTATTTTGTCCCTATACTACCAATATGAGCAGATCACAATCAGGATGCCTTTATTGACGTGCACATGTTCATTCTTGAAGAACAAGAATTGAAAGGACCATGTTGAGAATGACCTACATCAAGACTTGTTTTATAAATACCCTTAGATTTTCAAGAGAATTAAGTGTTGTTTCCAAGGGCTTGAGCAAATTTATCTCCAGCTGTTGGTGTTGTTGCCACCTCCAGCACTTTGCTCTGGCTCTCTGCTGGTGGTTTCCAGCCTTGTAGTGGAGCAGGACAGGAGGGAAGGTGCACATCACCTACTGTGTGCCACCTCTTCCCCTTCCCATTCACACCTCTGAGGAGTTTCAGCTGAACTGAAGCCACTGCAGCTCAAATCCTGTTGTCCCAACACCTGGAATGCAGTGGCAGAGGGGACAGCAGCAGGCAGTGACTCCCTGCAATGAACCCCAACCAGGACTCTTCAGCCCGTGGACTGAGCTCCCCAACACTGAGACACTACAAACGTGTGCCATGAGCTCAGTGGGAACAAACATGCTGGCTGATTCACAGCTGGAAATACTCATCTTTAAGCAGCTTTTAACAATACCTGGAAAAAGGCACACAGAGATGTATTAAAATGGCATAAGATTGTTATTAAACTACACCATGGTTGTTAGGAAACATTCTGTGTTTGTGCCATATGACTCACACACAAACATTACAGAACACACAAATATTAAGGATATGGAACTCATATGCCACATATAAAGAATCATTTTGGGAGCCAAATGTAAACTCAATTCTTTCTCACGAATGAATAGAAAAATGACCTGAAGAGAAATAACCTGAACTGCAGCATTTCCTTAAACACTCCAAGAAGTCTAGAGAGTGTTCTACTTGGATTTCTGCAGCCTTTGACTTAGTTCTTCTAAGCTTCAGCCTCAGGGACATTGCACCCATGTTGTGCACTTGTGCCCTTGATTTAATACTGGGCAATAGCAGTGTGCTGATTATGTTTGTTCTCTTCTCATAAATTACTTTGTTGACTGATTAATGGCATGTTACACTCTACCATTTTGAGGGGACTACATAAAAAGTGGGTTTTTTTAGACCTGACATTTTTGGATGCTATCAAGGGTAGTATAATCTAGGCCTTTAGATTTCTGGTACTAATATATTTGGCTGACACTAAGAAGCTATTTAGATCATAGAATCATCAAGGTTGGAGGAGACCTCTAAGATCATTGAGTCCAACCATTAACCTGTCACTGCTGGAACCCCTAAATCCTAAACCAGATCCTCCAGTGTCAGATCCAGACACCTCTTCAATACTCCCAGGGATGGTGACTCCACCACCTCCCTGGGCAATATCCCAGTGCCTGAACACCACAACAGGGAAAACATTTTTCCTAACATCTAATCTGACTCTGCCCTGTCTCAGCTCAAGGCCATTCCCTCTATCCTCTCCCTGCAGCCCTGGCAGGACACACATCCCCCACCTCTCTCCAGCCCTGGCAGGGAGTTGCAGAGAGCCAGGAGGTCACCCCTGAGCCTCTTCTCAAGGCGAAACAAACCCAATTCCCTCAGCCCTTTCTCATACAACATGTTTTTCAGACCTTTGATGAACCTCATTGTCCTTGGCTGGACTTGCTCTAGCACCTTTTTAAATTGAGATCAGTTTATGTATCAAGATTTCAAAGAGGAAAACACAACCAAAACTAGTATGGAGGAACCTTTATGGATATCACTGGGGCAAATACATATGATTTTGATAAAGCTAAGTGCATGAATCCCACCACAGTGTGATAGGGAAGTTTGTGCTTGTGAAGAGCACTTACCAATGGCAGAAAACAGACACATGGTTACAAGTATGAGGACACACCAAAGGACATCTGCATTCATCTGTCTTTCCAGCTTACTGCGTTTGTAACGTGGTCCATTATTATTCAACAAAGCTTTGGTCTCATGCCCTGCAGAAGGAATTGCATCATATATGTCACATAGATTTTTGCTGTTATTTTAAGGAAATTATTCAAAGGCATTATATGCCACAGACAGAAAACCAGCTTTTACCTGCATAGATTACTATTCCTGCAACCTCTTCTGTATTTCTAATGGTACATCCACGTAACAGAAGATTTTCTTTGAACAGTCCATCCTTTTTCCCATTTTTATGTATACTGCAGAAAGTAGAAAGACAGAACAAAACACAGCATGTCAAAATATTAAGCTTGTTAACTCCTACTGCTCTGTAACATAAGAAGACCCAGAAGCATCTTCAAAGTTTAAGAAGTTTTTCTTAATCTGATGGTGAAATCTTTCACCAGCTATCTAAGAAAAAACAAAATGGCCTGACCATGATGATTCTTGTTGACTAACACCAAAACACATGAGAAAAATGGAAACAAATAACATTTCTGTAAAACTTAATATCTGCTGTGTATGGACATTTCAGCTGACACAGAAATACAGAAAAGAGCCTCATGAGAATTAACAGTCACCAGGGAAATGCTGAACAATACTAACAATTAAAATGGCATTAGAATGTCATATTAGGTAAAAAAGACAAACCAAATAATAATTTCAAACTTTTTTAAAATGACTAAGATTTCATTTAATCCAATGCAGCATCCCAATGCCTCAAGAGAAAATTAAAGCACAGTCTGAAATGCTTAAATGTTCTGTCCTCACTTCCAGAGCACCAAAGCCATCACAGTTCCAAAGTCTGAAAAATGGACTGCTATAAAAAGCTAGCAAAAGCTGGGAGTCCAAGAGAAACCCTGGAAAAGCACATGTGCTGTACTAAAATTAGCATTGTGCTGCTGCAACATTGAATTTTATGGCTATCTGGACTCGAGCATTTCAAATCCTGTCCCCCCTGAAATCTGTAAACTGGCTTGAAATTGTGCTTTTTGCATAAAGGTGTAGTTCTTATTTGCTTCCTATTTTCTAAGCCTTCACACCTGGGTTATATATTCATGATTTTCTCTGTTAAATGCTTCTCTTTTTCTCAATGAGGACCAGAATTCTAACTTTAGTCCATACTTCTAGGATCTCAGGCCTATGTACTACATCAGATATACACAGTGTTTTCTAGTTCAGTGCAATATGTTATACCCAGCCTTCTTGGAAAAAAATAAAATATTTAAAGTGTTGGTGTTTCAATCAGTATACTTAGCTTTTCACTGCAGGGATGGAGAAAAAACATTGGGTTTTACAGCTGAGGTAGCTGCAGCATCAATAGCATCTGACTAGAGACCAAAAAATGGAGAAGGAAAGAAGGAGCTAACAGCAAGTTTGCAATTCTGACACAAAAAGGAAGGGTTCTCTTTTGCACTAGGACACAGTTTCCCCTGCTCAAGCACATCCTCTCTGTTGGCCCCAGAAACAACAACAGAGGTTTTACTTCTGTTCTCTTCAGCAAATCTCCTTCCACCACTGCCCTCACCTTTTGCCAAAGCAGCTTCAAACACTGGGGCTGCCCAAGATCCCTCTTGCAGTAAGCCAATAGGTGCAATTTGTCTGGGCTTAAACCATGGCAAATAATTTCTTAATGATTCCATCCTGTAGAAATTACACTGCCCCCAGCATTCTGTCCTTCCTCTGCTTTTTAGGGCTGAATTCTACATTAGCCTTTCTCATAAATCATGAGGATGCTAATTTGGATTTCCACTAAGTTCTCCAAATGATAGTTACGATTCCTGTTAATAAATGGGACTTTTTAAAGATAAACCTACTTAAGCAGTAATTGCTCTGGCTTCTAATTTTAGAGCCTTCAATTTTTTATACTTCACAGTAACAGTGGACTGTGAGAAGAATATTGTACATGGTGACTTTTATATACAACTGCTTGTGTGTTTGTTCTACAGAATTAGATATTTGTTCTCCCTATCTTAGCTTATAAAACTGCTCCGAAGCAATGATGCAACAAGTTAACCTGCAGTGTCAAGACCTCAATTTACTGCCCTCACCACATCTCATCCTTACATGCACTTGGTACTGCTTTTGACTTTTCCATATCCAAATGGAGTCAGACAATTCAACTGTTGCTCACCAGACCTTTAGCAAACATGGATGAAATCAATACCTGGAGAACAAAGGTGGTAGAGGCTCAAGGAAACTTATGTTTCCATCTTGTCACTCCCAGTGACTCACTAACAGAACATACATATGAGGCACTTGGGCACTGATGATAAAAGGAATTAAAAATTACAGACATAAAGGCCTGGATTAAAAACTAATGAAAACCAGAGTTAGATAAAACTGCTCACTTTGATAACAGAAACCTGCCCACTCTATAACTTCATATCTGGGTTGAGAGAACAGCCTAGATCCCATTTCTACCCCTGAAAAATTATAAACCTTAAGCTTGTGAAAAAAGCTGAACAGTCTGTTTTTCCCCTTTCTGGATTCAGACCAGTATAACACAGAGGCAAAGAAAGAAAATTGTCTCTGTCAGTAGTTCTGAGTGTCTGTCTGAAGCATCTCAGATGGCTGGAACACAAGGGCTGGGCCAGGAGGAGACTCACTGCCAAGTGCAGGAGCAATGCTCTTTGTGCCTGCAACTCCTCCCATGGAGGACACTGCAAATACGTAGGATCTAAACCTCTAAAACACAAATGCACCACAAATTTGGAGATGCAGTTGGCTACAACTGTGCTCCAGCTCTCTGAAAGTTTGTATGGAAATAATCCTGGTTTAACACAGCAACACTGCAACGAGTCCAATGGTAGTTCACTTCAGCCTTCTGTTATGTTACGTGTTTACAAACACTAAATAACCAGGGACTGTATCAAAACTCTATTCAAATGAGAGTATTTTCTTCCACTTTTCAGTTTCTCAAGTATCTTACAAAGCAAACAGCAGAGCAAACGTTCCAAGGCTTGACACTCCCAAAGAAAATATTCAATAATCTTCAACAGTCTCAGTGAACACCATCAGACAGAAACTTCCCAAGTCTGAATTGTGATGAAACTTAGTCTAGGTTGTTCTGTTGGGTTGTTTTTCCAGGAGAGGTGGTGTGACTATAGCACATTAAGAGACATCACTGCATAGATTTATAACTGGTTTTTTTGCTTTAAAAAACTGTAACATGATTTTATATTGACTTACTATTGTTATTTAATGACAAGCTTGCAATAGAAATGCACACATGTATTATTATTATTGTTATTGCTGTTGTTATAATTATTGTTATTACTGCTAGAATTATTGTTATTATTGTTGTTGTTATTGTTGTCATTATTATTGCTGTTGTTGTTATTATTGTTATTGTTGTTGTTGTTATTGTCATAATAATAATAATAATAATTATTACTACTACTACTACTACTACTACTACTACTACTACTACTACTACTACTACTACTACTACTACTACTACTACTACTACTACTACTACTACTACTACTACTACTACTACTACTACTACTACTACTACAACTACAATTCCATGCTATACTTATTTTGGTATGATCAGGTAAAGTTTTACGTTCTTGTCTAATAATAAAATTTTTGTCTTCAGAGAAAAGCTGAAAACATCAGAACAGCAACTACTACTTCTCCTTTTCCCTTTCCCATCTACACACAAAAAAGTAGAAACACATTTTCAAAGACAATTTTGCTGCTTTTGGAACCTAGCATGGGATGTTCAAATGTTTGCCATGCATGCTGTACATAATGTGGCTAGACCCATATAGACAAGGGGCATGCTAGGTTTTTATGTCTATTCTTTTTACACAGAATAATTCTCATAGGGGAATTAAAAATGAAGGAATATGCTTGGGATAGCCGAGGGTGCAGAAGCTGCAAAACACTATTAAAACAAACAGCTGAGTAGAACTGGTATTTTGCCTGTGTTGTGGCAATGTAACTGAAGGAGTCACATGCAGTACAGAATCACAGAATCATAGAACCATCAGGGCTGGAGGAGAACTCTGAGATCATCCAGTCCAACCATTAACCTGTCACTGCTG